CAATTTCGATGCTTAATGGAACTAATTTTAAGGACTAAAAAAATAACGTTCTGATTGTTCTTGACTGCATGGACTTAGACCTTGCGTTACAGATTGAACAACCCACTGCACTTATGGATAAAAATTCTGCTGATGAAAAAGGGACTTTGATAAATGGGATCTTTCAAACCGAATAAATCTTATGAATATGGAGCATGGTATTCCAAAATCATTTAGGGGCAATGTGTCTGATAAGGTAACTATCGTCACGAAATTTCTTAATGAAATTGAAAAACACTTTACAAAAATCGATAAGGCTGAAACTAGTACGTGTCCGACGAACTAAATTTCACTAAGTCAAAAAGGCAAATGAAATATTTGAGAGTACATTATGGAGATATTTCACATTGCTTCAAAACTAAAGGCACTAAAACTTGAGTTATCTGATGATTTGCTCTTGCATTTGATTTTGATTTTTCGTTTTGCAAAATACAATCAATTTAAGATAAATTATAACCATAAAAAAGAAAAGTGAACTCTTAAGGAGCTCATTTCATACTGTGTGCAAGAAGGAGAAATGTTGAAGAAAGACAGAACTAAAAGTACTCACTTAGCTAGTTTCTTTAAGGACATGTTCAAGAAAAAAAAAGAATAAGAAAGCTGCACCCCGTCTAACTCAAAAGAAACAGCTTGAAAATGATGAATCATTTGACTATTGCTTTTGTGGAATTCCGGGAAACTTGAAAATGGATTGTATCAAATACCACACTTGGCTGTAAGGAAAGGTATGTTTCTCACTTTGATTTGCTCTCAGGTTAATTTATTTTCAGTACCTAGACATACTTGGTGGATTGATTTCAGTGCCACTACTCATATAAGTGTGTCTATACGCGATTGACCGAATAGCCGAAAGTTAAATGATGCTCAAAGATTCATCTATGTAGGCGATGACAAATTAGTTGAAGTAGAAGCTATATGGGCTTTTAGATTATTATTAAAGATTGATTTTTATTTGGATTTGAAAGAGACTTGTGTAACGTCTTTTAGACAGAATTTGATTTCTATTTTTGTTTTTGACATATTTGGTTATTCTTTTTTATTTGGAAATAATAAATTTAGTCTTTTCTTGATTAAAATCTTGTGGATATCAGTCCTTTATTTGGATATGATAATCTATACTTGCTTAATTCGGTTGCCTCTTATAATGAAAATTGCATGTGAATTTACGTGGTATTAAATTTAAATTAACTAATGAGAATCTTGATTCATTATAGCACAAGCGTTTAGGTCACATTTCTCGAAAGAGAATTGAAAAACTTGTGTCAGAAGAAATTCTTGATCCTCTTGATTTTTCAGACTTAAGTGTTTGTGTAAATTATACTAAGGGGAAACAAACAAACATAAGGAGATTAGACGCCATAGGATTTCGGACGTTTTAGAACTAATTCATACGAATATCTATGGGCTATTCCATTCGGTTTCATGGAGTGGTCAACAATTATTTATTACATTCATAGACGACTTTTGCTAAATTCCTAGAGAAATGTGAAATCGTTCCACAATACACCATGTCGATTTTCCTAGCTGAATGGTGTTACTGAAAAAAGAAACAAAACACTTAAGGACAAGAAACCTAGTTTGAAGCACTTACACATTTGGGGTTGTCTAGCAGAGGTAAGTCCTTATAGGTCATCAGAAAAGAAACTGTATTCCAGAACCGTCAACTGCTATTTTATTGGTACTCTAAGAGGTCAAGGTGTTATAAATTTTATGATTCCACTACCAAGTCTATTTTTTAAACAATAAATGCCCAGTTCTTTGAGGATGTGGAGATTGCGGGGACGAGCAGGGGGGTGGGGTGGGGTGGGGGGGAGATAAGGTTAGGAAATTTGTCTTTGAGGAGAAATATATAAATATCCCTTCTATTACAATTGATAATGATTAGGATCAGGAAAAAAATTCTTGTTCTAGATTTTGTTTAAGAAGCAATTCTGGATCAAAACAATATTTTAGAACCCCCTATAAATAATCAAGAGATTGTTTCAGAAGAACAAACTCAATAACCTTAAGAACAAATATACCAATAAGGAGATCCACTAGATAAAGGAGAAATGCAATTTCGGATGACTTTATAGTATTTCTCCAAGAACATGATGATGTCATTAGATTGATGGAAGAAGATCCTGTCAACTTTCATCAAGCAATGCAAATGAATGATTCTCAAAAGTGGAATAGACGTGAATGAGAAAATAAAGTCCATGAAAGACAATGACATTTAGGAACTTACCCCTTGCCTAAAAATACAAAACCCATTAATTGTAAATGGATATTTAAAATCAAGAGGGATTTGAAGGATAATGTGAAAAGATATAAGGCTTGTCTTGTTGCAAATAGCTTTACTCGAAGAGAGGTATCGATTACAAATAGACTTTCTCTCCAATTTAAACAAAAGACTCTTTCAGGATTATTATGGTATTTGTGACACATTTTGATCTTGAGCTACATTAGATCGATGTAAAGACGGTGTTTCTATATGGTGACATTGATGAGACGATATATATGTTGCAATCGAAAAACTTTGTGTCGGGAGACCCATAGAAAATGGTTTGCAAATTTAAAAAATTTATCTATGAGATTAAACAGGCTTCTCGTCAACGGTATCACAAATTTCAACAAATAATCATCTTGTTTTGTTTTGAGATGAATGTAGTTGATGATTGTGTATACCACATATTCAGTGGGCGTAGGTATATTTTTGTGGTATTGTATTTGGATGACATAGTGCTTGCCTATAATAAATATGCTTGATGCATGAAATCAAGAGATTTCTATCGAAGAATTTTGAAATGAAAGATCTTGGTGATGTCTCTTTTGAATTAGGGATTCAGATACACCGAGACTGTTCTTGGAGTCTTCTTGGATTATTACAAAAGAGCTATACCGATACGGTATTTAAGATATTGGGATGCAAGATTGCAAATTAGGTGATACCTCTGTTACTAAGGGGGATACGTTTAGTCTCAATCAATGCTCTAAGACTGACCTTGAAGTACAAGAGATGTAGAAAATTCCATATGCTTCAGTAATTGAAAGCTTAATGTATGCCCAGGTGCGTATATGCCCGAATATAGCATTCTTGGAATGTTAGGTAGATATTTAAGTAACCCTAGGATGGATCATTGAAAAGTAGCCAGACAGGTTATGCAGTATCTACAGAGAACAAAAGATTACATGCTCATATACAGGAAATCGGACCAATTGGAGATCATTGGTTATTTTGATTCTAATTTTGCTGGATGTCAAGAAAGTAGGAGATCTATATCGAGCTATCTTTTCCTGTTGGCTGGAATAGCTATATCCTAGAAGGGTACTAAACATACACTCATAGATTCTTCAACCATAGTAACGGAGTTTATAGCGTGTTACGAGGCAACCAATCAAGAAATATGGCTGTGAAAGTTTGTCACTGAGCTGCGAATTTTGAATGGAATTGAAAGACTACTTAAGTTATTTTGTAACAATAAGTCAACGATTTTTTTATTCAAATGACAATAGGAGTTCAACAAAATCTAAATTTATAGACATCAAATTCTTAGTTGTTAAAGAAATAGTTTAGAATGGTCAGGTTACTACATAACATATTGAGACAAACTCTATGATAGCATATCCATTCACTAAATATTTAACACCCAAGGTCTTTCATGAGCACGTCGCTCACATGGGTGTTGTATATTTTGATGGTATTCTACTTTAGTGGGAGTTTGTAATTTTGAATGTTGTCTTTTTAGACATATGTTTTTGTTTGTGCACATTCAAGTTTATTTCAGTAATAAAGTATTCAACTCAATTTTCACTCTAATTAAAGTTTTTGATTTGATCTGGTTAAAGTATAAGGTATTAAGTAATAAGGTAGGACCAGCTGAAAATATGTATGTTTGGATCACATTACATGCGATTTTCATGCTACATATCCATGTTTGATCTACATCGCTTGATTGTATTGATATACGTGACCATTGAGGGTTTAGTTGTGATACTTGTAATGAAGATCGCTTTGATATTATATTAACATAATTGATGTATGAGATTGTTCAAAAATGTTTTTGGTTATGATAGTAAAATTTGAGCTCACAAGGTTATACATATTTATAAGGTAATAAATGTGGCCCAAGTGAGAGATTGTTGGGAAAAATAATAATTTGTCATGTGGGCCTACATGTGTGATTAAAAGAGTGTATAAATGTTATCTTAAAGTTAAGCCCAAAATTAAAGCGATCTAATATATAATTAAATAATTGAATTTTGGGCATCTAAATAGAGTGGGAGCCTTATTGTATTTGTAAAGATCGGATCAATTAATGTTGTATTTGACGATGAGCCAAATACATATGAAAATATAAACATGGTTATAGTCCCTAATTCATATGTAATTTCTTATTCTTTGTGACATCCTATCAATATAAGAATACAAAGAGAAAGCATATTGAAGAGGAAGATCTAAAACCAGCATAAATGAACTCAAGAATCAAGAAGAATGATTGAGACAATCAAATTGAAGAACAATGCAATCAAGACTAAAGAGAAAGAAATCAAGATTTAAAGGGACTGCAAGTGGAAGCTTCAAGATTCAATATTCAAATTACAAATCAATAGATCAAGGTATGTTCAGTATTAATTAATTTTCTTGGTGATTTGATTTGGAGATCTTGGCAATTCGTGAATGTTTTATAAAGTTTAAGTTTCATAAAATTCAGCACTCAGGTCTCAAGGAAGAAGTTGAAAATGTAGTTGCTAATCTCTCATCAATATACAAAATATTGAATGCCACAATCCTTATTCTAGATTTGATAGCACTAAGAGTATCACAAGGCAACTAGCACCTGCTACCTCAGATAATTCTCTAATTATTTTCCAATCATCCCTAACATCGTCAACTATGGAGACTGCTAGTACAATTGTACGAGCACATCCTTCTGTATTTGCTATCCCGTCTTTCTCAAAGAAAGCTAATGAGGGGAAAATCACATTGGCACAATACACACTCCAACAAAGGCCTCATTAGGGACTTTCTCCAAGTTCAAATCATCAGCACCCATCAAATAGAGACTTTTAGCAGATTCAATGTGCCCGTCAAATTCTGATACAAGTCTTGTCGAGAGCCACAACTTCGGAAGCATTAAGTAGCATAACATTATGTCTGTTCCAATCAGGTTTAACAACATTTTCATTTTTGGCAAGGCCACAATAGTTGAGAAAATTGCATACTTGTTCTTCAGCACAAAGATCCCAGTTCCAAATAATGAATTCACAGACTCCATATTTGCATCCTACAAAAAATACAGTGTCACATTATATGTCGAAGTAATATAGAGATATAACATTAACACTGGATAACAAATAAATCTTTATTCAGGTAAGTTAAAAAATGGTGTTCATGTCTTAATAAATTGATTGATCCATACTGATTTAATTTTAAAAACTAGGCAATACCTTTGAATTTCATTCCAACAATTGTTTTGTTGCATGGGCTCCCACAACACAAATTATATGCATATGCATGGAAGGTAGACTACTATTTCATATACAGAATTCCAGTAGCAGAAATTTTCCTAATAAAATTTCATTGTTCCTCAGAAATATCTACAACTGACACAAATATTCAGTAAGAATCAAATATCATGGTGTTTAGAGTTATTTAAATTACATAATTATTTGTTGGTTGAATCAATAAAATAAATGGTATGCATATGCAGTCCAAGTATTTTGCAATTTCATTCACATTTTTCAATCACAAATTTCACGATACATAGACCATTCAAGAACAAATTCAGAATGAAATATCTACCGTGAATATAACGTAATTAATGGAATTACCCTTCCTGATAGATGAATCTATCTCAAAAAACAGTTGCAGAAGTAGCTCTTCGTAGCTTACATCGTAAGAAAATCCCTAATCTGTTTAGTCTATTCACAGTTTCATACATCCATTGCCCATGATCATATTTTTGAATTTAAGACTGCTAATTAATGTTTTGCATGAGTTCTTCTTTTTCAAAATTTTAGCTACAAATGAGATAAATGGAGAAAGTTTGGGGGTCATTAAATTTAGTGATATTTGGGGGAATACGTAGTCTATTTTGTAATTAAATTTTTTGGGTATTTTCTTGAATGTTTTATACTTCATATGTATATATGATTTTTTTCCCTTTCTTTTATGCCCCGATTGAAACAATAGAGTCCATATGTAATTTCTAGGGAAGAAGAATATAAACAACTCCGTTGTTTCAAACTTTCTAAAGAACCTTATTGCCAATATAATTGTTGGGAAAATGGCTTATTGGCACACTTTTGGCATAATTTTGAGTGGGATCCGTTCGTTCATTTTGAAAGATAAAAATTGATTTATATTATCCTCCGTGAGAACATTGAAATAATATATTTACTTTTTAAGAATGATAATTAGGTGAATAAAAAATTAGAGTTCAAAGTGGACAATTTCGAAGGAGTTTATCTATTGGAGGGAAAATAATTAAATTTGTTTCACATGGGAAAATGATCAAAGCAAATACTAGTTTATATATGGCTACACTTTAGAAGTATGTAATCATGTACAATATAGAGTTTCTCTCCACGTGTGTGCGTGTGGGTGCAAATCAAGGACCAAATTAGACCTTGACCTTTAAACTTTTATGCAAGCGCGACCTTCATACACGAATGGACCAAAATTAGCCCCTTAGGGGGTCCATATTTTGTCTTTAATTTCTAAATAAATTTATTATGTTTCTCCAAATAACCTTCTAAATTCCCCAACTCATGAAACTCATATGGTTTATGTCTGTATTAATGGAGAGATTAAGAGTCGGGCCAGATTAATGATGGTAATGTCTGTAACACCGGTAAATCATGGCCTGTTAATTCTCCATTACAACCTATTTATACATACGATTTTCCTCCATTCTAAACCACAAATTTCTCTCCTCTTTGTGCATACAATTTATAGTCTTTTTTCTGCACTTTCTGTCGAACCCTTGGTGTATTAAGAATTGGGGTTCCATCTTTAAAATGTCAACCTTTTAAGATGGAACCTCAATTCTTAACATGATATCATAGCCTATTAAGCTCCAACGAGCAATTCAATCCGATTAAGACGTAAAAAAAATTGAGCACACGGATTTCAAGATTGGTCTGCTCAAACAAGCCACCATCTTGTAGGGACATGTTAAGGGATAAAATCTCATATCGAATAAAGATGAAAATATAGATCAATTTATAAGAGTTTAGGATACTCCTCTTAGTAAAGTTGACATTTTAAGATGGAACCCCAATTCTTAATATGGTGGTCATGTTCTGATATAAATTCAGTTTGCTTGAGTAGAAGCTGAAGTGCTTAAACTCTACTGATTTTTTATTGTTTTCGAGGAAACAGATGTTCGAACGAAACTTTGAGCACCTATGGTGAGATGGTGAATATGTTTTAACGACACTGTGGAATACACAAACCTCTGTTTGCAAATTCAATCTTAGCTTTAGCAATTCATATATTTCTGCAAATTTTTACTCCTTTTTTGGTTCGTTCTAAATTAGTAAAATATTATCATATTCTGCAATTATTTTCTTTAACAATTATATCATAAAAAAGGAATTTGTTATAGAATAGAGCATACCATTAGATCCATGGAATATTTCAAAAATATCAATCGAAAAATAATATTCTTCAATGGAATAAATCTTGAGATATATATGGCCTAATTCTATCAAATCAAAATTCTTTTATCGACACCAAACTTGGTACAACTTTTTTTACACTTCCTAGTTGGTCATGCTATCTGAAAAAGACATAAATATTGTAGAAAAGAAAATCAACTCCGACTTCCCTGGACATTAACATTATCAACGTTTCTGATTCATGTTTTCATACAACATAGTTTCAATTTTAGTAACATCTCATAATCTTGTTTACTTTAACTGACTCTCAACTTTACTTCTATCCCCCATTTCTTTGTTTTTGTATTGATTGAATAAGAAGGGTAATTTCATTAATTATGGGGAAAAATTTAATGACATGAAAAAATGGCAACATAAAATGTTATTTTACTTGACAACTTTGAATCTTGTGAGGTTCTTAACTAAGACTGATCTAAAACTCAATGATGGTGAGATAGATGTCCAAGCTATCAGCACACTTGATGCTTGGAACCATTCTGATTTCCTGTACTGTAATTATAACATGAAGAGTTTGGCTGATTCATTATATAATGTATATAGTACGATGAAAATACTCAAGGAATTGTAGGAGTCTTTAGATCGAAAATATGAAACTGAGGATGTCGGGGCTAAGAAATTCATTGTTGATCAATTCTTGGATTATAAAATAGTGGACTCCAAAACTGTAATTAGACAAGTACAGGAACTCAAAGTGATTGTAGATGAAATTCACATCGAGGGGACAAATTTAAGTGAAACTTTTCAAGTGGATGCAATTATTGAAAAGCCACCGTCGGCTTGGATGGATTTAAAAAATTAAATTAAGCAAAAGCGAAAGGAAATGAATATTGAAGAACTGATTGTTAGACTTCGAATTGAAGAAAAATAATAGAAGTTTGGAAAAGAATGGGTTCAATCATATTGTTGAAGCCAAAGTTGTGGAGCATGGTCAAAATTCTATGATATTCAAGAACAAGTCTTGGCCATCTGGTGGAAAAGGGTCTAAGCTAGTACCAAAAGGTGGAATTTATAAGAAATTTCAATGTAAACACTTCAACTATGACAAAGTAGGTCATAAATCTTTGGAGCACAAATTGCTAAAGAAGAATAATAAAACAAAAGCAAATGTGGTTGACTATATGATGCAGGAGGGTTCGAGTCAGATGAAACCGCCGAATCAGACGAAGCTGAGTTGTCAGTAGCTCATTGATGGCACTAATGTACCATGAGTTGGTGGATCGGCGTAAGAATGGAAAGTAATCGACGACATTTCCTAATTGGGGTCAATCTTGGACACGTATTGGTATTTTGACCATAACTTTGGCTACGATTGTCAGAATCACGCCCATGACCCCAATTCGGAAAGCTCTTTTCGGCGCGCACATCATGGTCACCCAGCTATGCTTGGTGTGTATGGTTTCGAGGCTAAATTCAACTGTTTTCCCTTTCGAATCATCAATTTAAGTTATTTTTTGCCATTTATGGTAATATTTCGTTTTCCTTTTTGTCATAGAATAATTTCTGGATTTGAGCCGGATTTTGGTGATATTGATTCTTAAATTAAGTATTTTACTTTGGTATGAAAAATAGGATTTTGCTATTTTTGGCAAATTTCCGATAGTTATTATTTTCTGGCTATTTAACCCGACTTGTGGGTTATTTTCATTCAATTGTTGAATAATAAAGATTTTTCTCGTTTTGTCTTTGTGTTTCTCTTGCTTTCTTCTCTGTATTTGTCAATTGGTTTTAACCCGCAGAATAATCACTATTCTGTCCGGCGTCACTATATGACACAAAAGAGTGGAGGATTATTTCTGAAGTGGGATGTGTATGAGATGAATCTCGTAGCCATTATTTTCTGAAGTGAATTTGGTGGATTCAAACCCAAAAGAGTGGAGGATTGACACCTGTGCTATGAGGCGTGTGTGCACTAATAAAAAATACTTTATATGTCGTTTGAAGCAACTGATAACGGGGAGAAGTTGTTCGTGTGATTTGTCTGCTCAATAAATTGGCTTACATCTTTTATATTCCCATACTAGCAAACCATCGTGTGGGTTGGCCATTAGGATTGGAGTTTCTGTGTGAGGTAACCATTGCTTGTTATTAGAATTTAGAAATTACTTGCCATATTTGAAGTGTTTAAAATTTGTTAACTTTGATTGCTGAAAGTTGCTAATTGATTTTTTGATATAATTGTTGATTAAGTCACTATATGAGACTTGTATCGAGTGAGAAATTAGTTTTGTTGGCATACCTCTTTGATGTATTGATTATTCCGTTAGAAAACTGAACTTTGTCCTTTTGAACATTTACTTGATCTGAGATCATGAATATCACGAAATTATGAGAATCTATAACAGTGTATATTGTGACCTTAGGGCTATTTTCTTTGACCTTATTTGTGCATTGGTTTATCTATGTTCAAAAATTAAAACATTTTTTATTTGGAAATTTTCAATGTAAAATTTGAATTTTCTACTTGATACAGAAAATGAGAGAAATTTTAGTGCAACAAAAGGTTATAAAAGCTATAGATGGCATTTTACACCTGTTGATGTTGTTATGAGAAAAGTTAGTAAACTTAAAATCACGAAAAAAATTTGGAAAAAGTTTGAGGACTTCTATTTGCTTAAGTTTGCTTCTAATAAACTTTACTTACTCGAGATATTTTTTAGTTTTAAAATGGATCTTTCAAAAGATCTAGATGATAATTTGGATGTGTTTAACAAACTTGTAAAAGACATTACTAATTGTGATGAAATTGTGTCTGAAACATATAAGGTCATTATTTTGCTTATTTCCATGCCTGACACTTATAAATATGATAAGAATGTAATTAAGTATAGTAAGGATACTTTAATACCTGATATTGTAATAGATTCCTTAGGAGTAAAGAAGTGGAGATTAATGCTAAACATGATGAAAAGGGTGGTGAGGTACACATGATCGGGGGTAGCACACACTTTAAGCAAAATAGTCATATAGAAAATCAAGACAGTAATGACTCAAGTGATGAGGGTAGTAAAAAGAATGGTAGAAGTTGGGACAAGTCTAAGTTCAGTACAAGCAGTAAATGATGTTATAACGATGTTAAGTCTGGACATTTTATAAAGGATTGTCCTATGAAAAAAATAAACAGAAAGATAAGGTGAGGCGAATATTGTCACTAGGTCTAGTTATGGCTCGAGTGACATTTACTAATAATAAACATGATTATTGCATTTGCATCTGCGTGAAATCCCAATTTGCATGAGTAATTGCTTGATTCTGGTGCAAAAATTTATGTTACATTTCATTACATTTTATGAGTGTTTTTTACATTTTGAGATTGATCATATTATTCTGCATAATACGTTGCATGCATAATGGTAGGGATTGGTATTGCGATTATTCATACTAGGTGTGTTCTCACCTTAGTAGGTGCATTAGCAGTAAGTGTATCAACTGGTAATATGGAGTATAAATGACAAATGATGCATTTATGATAGATATGGGGGTGTGGAGAGATGACATTTGGATTACAAGAGTTGATGTGATTAAATGTTCGAAATCTTCTATATGTTAAAAATCCCGATAGGTGGAGTGAGAGAGTGACAATCCTATCACCTCTATTAGATGAAGATTCATTATCCACTTAAATTGAAAGGGGTAAGATAGTGATAGAGAAACATCTCATGGACTTTGGATCTGTAGTGATTTATCTGATGACGAGAGGAGATATGTGTTCTCGTAATACGAGCTATACGAAATGGGATAGGATAATTGTGGTGAGATCATTTCTTAGTGTATTTATGCATCGGTTGTATATGTTGACCATTTACTTAATTAGCTTTGTGTTAGTTTGATGTTCTTAGCATGTTGAATATGTTGAAAAGATTTGTGTATTACCATATGTTGTGTCTTCATTGCATGCTTTATGTGTTCTTGATTGATTTCCATGAATATATGTTTGTACTTGGGTTCATGATCCTAGCTTTTGGTGAGTATATGAGACATGTATGATATGTGTTTCAGGTTCGAGACACATGTAATGTATATGATTCATATTTTATTTGGTTACCTTGATTAGACAAGTATAAATTTGGTATTTTTTGTTTGTAGGTTCATTGGGCATCAAGGTAAAAATTTGTTGGATTTTGATACCCAATAAATCCGGACGATGATGTTAAAACGGAAGGAATTAATTATATAAACACCGTAATGTGTTGACTCTAACCGAAAGTAATTTGGACCATTGGAAGTAACTTAATTAATTACGGTTGCTCATGGCCCGTTTCACTTGTTGGATGGCCCATTTACCTATTGTTGGCCCAACTTTGTCCTATAGCTAAATCTATATAGGGGAAATTAGGCCAGTTACTTCAAAAAGAAAACAAATTAGATTAATACGCTTTAACCAAATTAAAACCTCTAATCGCCGTAAATAATACGTCGCAAAACCCCAAAAGCCCCAAACCAATAGATTACAAAGAGAAATCCCCAAATCGTCCCAAAACCACGGATTTGTCGTTCTTGATAGGTGGGGTGGAGGGCTGGAGACTGTTGAGATGGTGCTGGTGTTGTTTCCTCGGTATCTTGAACTGTAGGTGGTGCTGGAGGGGTCAGGTCAGTCGGTGCAGGTGCTGGGGCTGGTGATGCAATAGGTGGTGGTGGTGGTGGCATTGGCGCTGGTGGTGCCGTAGGTGGTGGAATTGGTGGGGGTATTGTGGGAGAAGCATATCAATTTCTATAATTTCTACAACTCCATGTCCCTTTCATCTTTACATGGTTGCTGGGTCAACAAGCTAAGGCGCAGTCTTTTAACATAATTGAGTTGTGTGGAAAATAAAGGCACAAACTATTTGATTATTTGTTCTGAAAGTACAAGATAATGTTGCAAACGATGATTCTAGTCATCCATCAAACTCCATTATTGAAATTTCAGAAGAAAAAGAAAAATTGATTATTATGCCTGGTGATCCATTTGTTGGTCCCATAAGCATATGATATTGTTTATTTGCTTGTGTTCATCTAAGCAGCTTACAATCAATTATGGGTTTTCACATGCAAATGACCCTAAACGGTTGGGCAAACGTTGAAGATGAAAAGGATTAACTTTGCAAAAGAAGGTAGAAATAGGGTTGTAAATGCCAAAATTCAAATGATAGGGATGGTTTGCACAATGACAAACAATAGGGATGATTTGTGCTAATTACCCCTTTGAAATAGTAAACTGTTCACTTTTTTAGTAAACTGTATCACTTTTTTTTTTAAAAAGTGACATTGTGTCACTTTTTTGTGTGTTTGTAATTTTTTTTTTAGTGTTTTTCACTTTTTTCTCCACTTTTCTGAATTTTTTTTCATTTTTTATTGTTTGTTACTTTTTAAAAATTTCTATCACTTTTTTGAATAACAAACATAGGTTTTGATTAGTGTTTTGTCACTTTTTTAAGTATTTGTCACTTTTTTGAGTGTGTGTATAACTTTTTTTGAATTATGTCACTTTTTTTGAAAAAGTAAAAAAGTGACAATTTTTATAAAAGAGTGACATTGTGTCACTTTTTTCATTTTACACAGTATTTTTTTCTTCTTAAAAACTTTTCATATGATTTTTCAAGACACTTCTAATTTTAAAGGTATTTTTGTAAGTACTCCATCTATATATTGGTGCCTCTTGTCTTTGTGAACGGTGTGTGTGTGCAATTATCTTGAGAGAAAAGAGGATAGCCGTTCTAGGTGAGTGAGAAGCCATTGCTTTCCTTCCTTGTCTCTTCCTTTGTGGTTAATTGTAGTCGCCGTAATTGCGTCCTTTGTGGGTACAAAAGAGGGCAACCAAAATAATTAATAGTTGTAGGTTTGAGCCGTTCGATTGGATGGTGTTTGATTCGGTTTGCTATTGAAACTGAGCTCGAATTCCACGATTCGAAGTCCTTGGTGTACATTCCACGACATCTCAAACGCAGTCAGAAGATGCTAGCGCCTGCTCTGGTGATAGTACTAGCTTGCTGGAAGTCAAATTTTTGCAATTGGAGATCCAGATGCTTTTTGATCATTTCTAAGGCATGACGTGAAATTTAAATATTATATGTAGCATTATGAGAACAATTAGACGGAATTTTAGCATATAAAGTATGGAGTTTTATCGAGGTGTTAATTTTTTTTTAAGCACTAAAAATGTGTTGAATTGAGTATGATTACTAGAGTATAAAGAATAAACTAAGTTCATCTGAGCTACAAATTAACCCAAAGAAATCAGGTTTTCAACCACGAAAGAGAAAACCAAACATACCTAAATCATTACACTAGCAAGTTTTGACATCAATCGTGGAACAAAGAAGTTTTTGGCACCATTCAATCCTCAACACCACTGCCTTGTTTATTTCTCAAGAAGAAGCTTAACTCTTGAAACTTCAAAGAGATCAGGAGACTCATTCACAAATAATGAAAAAAAAAAAACACAAAGAAATGTATAAAAAATGATCGCAACTGAAGATTTGAAAGAAGTCAACGAGTGAGAAAACGAGAGAGTAAAAACTGAGTGAATGGCTAGTTTCCTCATTTTATGTGAGGCCCTAGTCCCATGATTGAAATCAAATCCAAGGATCTTGATTTGTCCTCTTGCCATTGAGCAACACTTAAAAAGAGTTACACCTCTAAATGACAATTTCGCCACTTCGCCTGGGTCAACAGATCAAATAATATTGTGAAACAATCGGACCTATTAAATTATTCAATTATAGGCTAAAGCCCAACTATTTATATCATTGCCGAAATAAGATTTTCTGGAAACAAATACAAAACTCGTCTCATTGTCTACCTTTTTGGCATCTCGCTCTTACCTACAAATAAGAGTAACACAAGTTAGTCAATATTCAATCAAAGAATCCAATAAAATGGAACTTACTATCGTTTACCGATGTTCAAGAGGCTTCAATACTTTATCAAAGGCAATACTTTAGTGTACATATCTGAGGGGTTGTCTTGTGGAAGAAAATTTTCAAGTTTTACTGCATGTTGTGTTACAATATCTCTAATAAAAGGCATTCTAACGTCAATATACTTAGTACTTCTGTGAAATATCAGATTTTTGCATTAGTTGACTGACTATCAAAATAGAAAAACACATCATCATCTACAAGACGAATTTCATTTAGCAAACCTTTAAGACTCTTCCTTGATGGCTGTATATTTGACTCAATAAATAGAGTGTGTGACTATATGTTGTAATTGAAACTTTCAACTTATACACTAATTATACAGAGTAAACACGAGGAAGTAAATTTCTTGTTATGCGTATCTCATACGTTATTTTCATCTACAGAATCTTGCAATTTAACACCTTCATTACTATATTTCAATACTAGACCTGCATCTTGACTCCCCTCAAATATCTAAGAACCTATTTTAAAGCCTCTCAATAGTCAAGACCTGGATTAGACAAAACCTACAAAATGTACTCACAGCTAGGTCGGGCCTAGTACACATCATCAAATACATAATAAAACATATTTGCATTCGAATGTGGAATTCTATTCATGTATTCTATCTTTTCATCGTTAGCATTTGATTAATCTTTAGACAAACCAAAATAATTTGCTAAAGATAATGTAACAGACTTACTTTCATACATGTCAAATTTTCTTTACACCTTCAACACATAAAGTTTTGATGTAAACTCAACAAAGAATTTGACTTATCTCTTTTTATTTTCATACCTAGGATTCTATTTACTATTTCTAAGTCGTTTATGTCAAACTCTCCGTTTAATGTAATTTTTATCTCTTTTGTCAATGTCACTGAATAGTGAATCAAAATCATATCATCAACATACAATAATAAGAACACGCGGTCACTATTAGTACCATTATGTTGATAGTACAAGTAATGATCAAATTTACTCAATTGGAAACCAATATTTAGAACAAACAAAAATATTTTATACCACTGCTTAGGAGATTGTTTCAACTATACAATGACCTTTTAAGAAAACAAATATGATTAGATTTTTAATTATCTTTAAAACCTTGTTGATGATTTGCAAATGTTTTTCATCAAGTTCACCATTTAAAAAAATAAATCTTAGATTAAGTTGTTCAAGTTCGCAATCAAAATATGCAACAAATGCAAACATAACTCTAATGTTTGTGTACTTAAAAACTACAGAGAATATTTCATTATAATGTACCACTTCTATTTATGTGTACCTTTAGCTATTAATCTATCTTTAAATCTTTGAAGTTCAATAGTGGTGCTCTCCTTGATCTTAAAAGCTCACTTACAATCAAGTATTGATTTATTTTTAGGTCTAGCGAATAACTCCCAAATTTGATTCTTAGCTAGAGAACTCATCTCTTTCTTTTACTATTTTCACAAACTCTACTGATTATTTACTCTTCATAGTCTTCTCATATGTATTTGTCTCTTTGTAAACTAACTCATTATTTCTCTCTGTCGTATCCCCTCTGTATCTTTAGCGTACTGATAATCGACTAATGGATATCTCTCCACAGTGAGTCGAGTCGAGCTCAACAGTAGATGATATGAGACAACTAAGCTTGGTCCATTAACACTCCAAAGAAAAAAGATATATACGAGATTAGCTTGTCATGTATTAGTGCTAGTGTGTCATAATAAGTTAACGGAACAATTCACAACTACTTTAAAAGACTATATAGATTCTGACTTTGCAGGTGATCTTGATAAAATGAGGTCTACCTCCTCCTATATATTTAGACTTTGTGATGGGTGTGCTAGATGGAAATCACAATTGCAAAAGATTGTAGCCTTGTATTCTATAGAGGCAGAGTACACAACAGTTTGTGATATTGTGAAAGAGAGACTTTGGGTAAGAGGACTTTTAGGTGATATTAGTTTTATTGTTGAAGTAATCAGATTGTATATTGATAGCCAAAGTACAATCCATTAGAGTAAGAATCTAATTTACCATTATAAGACCAAACATGTTGATATTAAATTTCATTTTGTTATAGACGTAATTGAGAAAGGTGTGGTAAGTTTAGTTAAAATTTCGACTCAGTTTAATCCTTTTGATCTTGGTACAAAGGTCCTTCTATCAAATAAATTTGGAAATTGTTTGACTAATCTAAATGTTATCGATGAATAATTATTTTGTATATGGTTGACAGTTTAAACTGTATGGATTTTATGAGTTCACAAACTAACTTGGTTTTTTTAAGTGTACCGTGGAGCAAAGAAAACTATAAGTATGTAGATTTGAATACTACAATTGATTCAATTCTTCAGCAATGTGAAAGTGTTAACTCCAATAAACCCGATCTACAAACCTTACTAAATTCCTTATGAGGAATTAAACATTATGCGAGGAGAATGGATGCATAAGAGGTTCGCATAAAATAATGTGAACCACTTCTCCATCCGGCTGGCTATTGGATGACAAGGTGCACGGAAAGCATGACATTTATAACTGAATCAGTTTTAAATAGCTAATAAGGAGCCACTATCTATCATTCTCCAAAAATGACCAAATTATCCCCAAATCCTGGAGGGAAATCTGCAAATACCTACTCATTTGAAGAAAGACACATGCAATTCAAATATATCCCTCTCAGATAGCCATTTTATCTCTAGCTCCTGTTTGAGCATCAAAACTAATGAGATTTGGAGGTGAAAACATTGGCTAGGTGAGAGGATTTGTTAAACTA